GTATATATAGAATATAAAATTGTGTATCAAAATAATGCCCTTCAGTGTCTTATGTAAAAACTCTTCCACCTTCAAATATAGGAAACTGGTAGCACTTTTTCTGACTAACAAGTTTTATTAAAAGGCATATTCTTTCGTAAGCTGCAGCTCACTTGATCAAATGCACCATACGCCTTATAAATCTACGGGTATTCAGCTAACTCTAAATACCGGTACACAGATCTGTAAGTTATAACGCATACAAAGTGAATGCAACGGCTCGTTCGTATAAATTTAGCACACTCACTTCTCCTCTCTTCCTCATTGGCTCCTTAAACACATGCTTTGAAACAAACGGATTTACGAAATAGAGGCGTGGCTTTGCGTCAATTCTCCGCGACACTTTTTTTTTTAAACTGGGGAAAGAAACTCGTTTGTAAACGGCCGGGCAAAGTTGAAAGGCGAAGCCCAGCGGCGGGGCAGGGCGATGATATCATTGTAATGCGACTACGAGGGAGGGAGCGGTGCGGCTTCAGAGCAGGAAGGTGAATGGGAAAAAAACGCGGTGGACGGTGGCCGCTTGAGACCCTACCACGCAGGAAGCGAAGCGGTGTTGGGGATACTTAAATTACGCGGTGAGAGTCCCGCTTCTTTTTCCTGGTAGCTCCCTTTCTTTGGTTTGACTCTGCTGGCTTTATTTCTCCACAAGGCTCTTCTATGTGTGTCTGCCTTTCAGACGTAAACCTCACTGAGTACGTGAGGATTGCTCTCCGATAACCGTTCCTACGATTTTAAGGCAGAAAGACATGTGGTCAGGGGGCATACGCGATCCGTCTCGTTGGCGACACCAGACGCCTTGCTTTTCAGAGTGTGAATAGGCTAACACGGCTCCTCCCTCTCCCTCTGAAATGCAGAACCAATTGTGTTGGGGAGGCGCTGAGAGCTGGCGATTCCCCTGACACGTGCACTCTTCTTCGTCCGGGGGGAGAAAACGGGGTGCCCCACGGCGCGCTATTTCCCGCTGTCTCTGAGGACATCATATGGGTGGCGTGGATGATACGATGGTCGAGTCCCTTTATGTATAAGGAGGGAAATGTCATTGCGTGCTAGCGGTTTGTTTGACAGGTTTCAGTTCTAAACTGCGCGGGCAAGATCTGAATTTCCGTCTCCAATAAATTTGATGACTGGGTTGCTCACATTTCGTTCCCCACCACGCCAGACGCAGGGATCCACCTATTGAGGTCCTTTGTATTGATCATGATTGATTGTTGTTGTTGTTTAGTCGTTAAGTTGTGTCCGACTCTTCGTGACCCCATGAACCAT